TCATCGATGTCATTCGGTTCGGCTGATGTGAAGTTCGACGCTTGACCTCTATTAACTATGGTCCAGCAAACAACGCTACTTTTAAGTCTTGATGCGCGTGTACAGAATTGTTTAAGATCAAAACCAATCTCGTACCCAGAGTCTGCGTTTCCTCTGGCCTGCGGCGAAGAACGAGGGCTCTGGCATAATTTTTTGAGACCAGGATTTCTTGGACTTCCGGTATAACAGCGAATGTGTTCAAAGACTTGCCAATGAATTAAAAAATATTTTCCCGATTTCAAACTTTTACTATGATCTTTTTTTCTTTGATTAATATTTACTTTGATTATTTTGATTGGTTATATATCACTTTTCGAAAATTGCGCATGCGCCAAAATATGGATTATGCCAGAGCCCTCGTTCTTCGCCGCAGGCCAGAGGAAACGCAGGCTCTGGGTACGAGATTAGACCAAAACAGGTTTGCTTCGTAAAAGTACTAAGCATCAGTTGTTGTTGTTTGCTGTTACAAAAATGTTGTCACTAAACAAATGCACGTAGCGGCCCTAGCGGCGCCAACCAAATAGCCCACTTCCGAGATATGCTTCGCTTGTCACGCACAAAGGTTTCAGTATGAGGCTACGTGCTAAATTAAATTAATTCTTACCGCCTGTCACGAGTGACTGAGCATTTATCACGTACCCTCATACTGAAACCTTTGTGCGTTACAAGCGAAGAATATCTCGGAAGTGGGTTATTGACGTGTAACTAACAGGTGACTACGAAGTGACAATGGAACACTTGTTATTGGTTAGGCATTTGCACAATTGATCTGTCTATTGACAAACCATTAAAATGAGGGAAGTTTCACTTACATGTGCTATTAAATGAAGGTCGAGAAAAAAGTTCCCATTTCAATAATGTTTTTCTCTAGTATGTTCCCTTATAACTATCTTTCCCTTTATATTAGTCTAAGACTTTTAAAAATAAGAAAAGTTTTTGTTGGAATCTCTTGAGAATCTCTTGAAAGCCCGAAATGCACGGCTATGGAGGCTTTGCACGACCACGTGATGGCAGCCATCACAAGAAGCAAGAATAATTGAATCAGATCTAATCTGTTTTACATGAGAAAGAACTCAGTTTCCCAGGAAAAAGAGACTCTATTGTTGTGCCTCCTATGATGATGGTGCAAAGCCTTTTTGGATGTTTTGAATCAGCTAAATGTCACAAAAAGATAGAATTTTCCCAAAGCACATTTTTCTTAGCCTGCGTCACACCCGGAATTTTCTTCTTAAATACTTACGAAGAAAATTTCGGATGTGACGCAGGCTAATTACGTGCACTAGTACTTCCACGACAGCAACTCATTTGAATAAATATCTAATTAGGCCACGTGCGAAGCTTTATGATTATGGWCCTTCGTGTATAGTACAAACACGTGGATCACCAAATACATTTATTGGTGGGAATAATATAATGTACTATATACGACGTTCCTACCTTTCGACAACGATAAAAAATTACAAATTTCTTACTACAGTTCACTACTCTACAACGCTATTATCGAATAACTGCCAGCACTACGTGTCTGCTGATCTTTTATTACGGCTATCTTCATAAACATGCGACCTTGGTGCTCTTGAGTTGCACGCTGAAATTTGGTTTTCCTCTGCTGTCAATCAAACCTAATCAGTCGGTAACTTTCATATTTATGACTGGCGGCAGCGAAAGACCAAATTTCAGCGTGCAAATCAAGAGCATCGTTGTCGCATGTTTATGAAAATAGCTGTAAAGGTTAGATGCAATTAATTTTGGAAATTTTATTTCAAAGAGCTTTGATATCGTGATAGAATTGTATTATCTCAAATTGCGTGGCTTAATCTTCTGGTCATTCTAAGTATTCATGGCAGTTTTTAAGGGCGGATCCAGCCAAATTTTAGGGTGGGGG